CCCCCCCCCGGGCCTGTGGGAGATGCTGGGGGGGGCGGGAGGGGGGTGGGATTCTTTCTCTGAAGCTAATCTGCCTCTGCCGGCAAACCACAAGTGTCAGATGTGCGGGCAGCTCGGGGTGAGGCAGAAAAAGGGCTTTTCTTGTCTAGAAAAGAGGATGGGGGATGGGGGCAGCCTCAGAAAGTAACCCTTGAGGGTCTCCCTGTTCTGCTGGGGACAATGAGGTGTGGGACTGTGTGCTGCTGCGGCAAGGCCGAGGAGAACCTGCACTTACTCGGTTGTGTTTTAATTTCTGTTGATGATTTGTGCTGATCCTTTTTTTTTTTTTTTTTTTTTAGGGGGGGGGGGGGTAGACGTAACCGGGGGATTTAGCCCATTCGGCCGAGTCTGGTCTTGCAGTGGTTAAAAAAGACAGAGACAGCCAGGCGCCAGGGTGGCTCAGTCTGTAATCTTAGCTACTCAGGAGGCTGAGATCTGAGGATCATGTTTCAAAGCCAGCCTGGGCAGGAAAGGCTGTGAGACACTTAATCTTCAATTACCCACCAAAAAGCCAGGAAGTAGATAGAGTTGAGGCTCAAGTGATATGGTGCCTGCCAGCCTTGAACAAAAAAAGCTCTGGGACAAGAGCCCAGGTTGTGAGTTCTAGCTCTAACACTGGTGCAAGCTCTCTGTCTGTCTCTCTGTCTGTCTGTCTATCTGTCTGTCTGTCTGTCTCTCACACACACACACACACACACACACAGACACACACACAGACACACACACACACAAAGGAACAAGGGGGCCATACTTAGGTTTAATGGGCAGGTGTTTCTTCGCTTTAGGCAGTTTCGCCAGATCACAAAGGATTGCGGGTTGGGGTTAATTGCCACCTTTGGTCTGGGGTGCGGCTCAGAGACAGCATTCTTGGGGCCCAGGGTTGGTTCCCCTGGAGTGGGAAGACTCTCCGGTATTTTCAAAGGTTACAGTGGTGGATAAAATTTAACATTTGATCTGTTTGCGTCTTCACCCCCCTCGTTGGATTAGAAAGTCATTTGTCCCCAGCCTGCAGGTCTTTGTGGCTGGGTGGGTTCTGCCCGGTGGAGTTCTGTCCTCTGGAACTCACCATTTATTGAGGCCTGTAGTGTTTTAAAAATTGAGTTTTAGCCCACAGTAAAAGTGTACTTGGTTCTTGATCATAAACACCTTTCAGGCGGTGCCTTCCTGAATGCATGCTGTGAACAGACTCACATCTGTCATTTCAGAACAGGAATGGTGGCCAGTCACCAAGAACACAGGCTTCTGACTCGCATCTTGCTGTGGTGTGCTGGGCCAGAGTTCAGAACTTGAGGGGTGTCTGCCCCCCTGGGTAGTGTTGTCCTTGAGGGACTGCATGCCTGGTTGTTGGTGGAGAATGGGTTGGCACCACCAGGCAATTTGTATCAAAAAAATGATGTCAGAGGGCTGGGAAGGAGGCTCAGTGGTAGCGTGCTTGCCTAGCATGCACGAAGGCCAGGGTTCAATTCCTCTGTACCACATGCACAGAAAAAGCCAGAAGTGGTGCTGTGGCTCAAGTGGTAGAGCTCTAGCCTTGAGCAAAAGAAGCTCAGGGACAGTGCCCAGGCCCAGAGTTCAAGCCCTAGGACTGCCAAAAAAAAAATCCAAAAAAAAACGTTTAGCTGCCTCAGAATGGAGGCTGTGCCCGACGGAACCTGATCGCCTGGTGTGGGGAGCCGGGAACATGAGGAGGCCTGGAGGGGGGGATTGAATGTCCTGGCTGCTCAGGTTTCCCCCACTTCCTGACTGACTGGGGGGGGGGCGGAGGCCTCTGAGCCCTGAGCTCAGGAATGTGCTTAACTCTGAGAGAGGACCCCCTCTGAGCCGCAGGGTCTCCCCTGGGTGACCTCAGCCCCACCCCCCATCCTGCATAGAGAGCCTGAATTGCTTAGGGTTCTTACTGATAGGATCAGCTCGGCTTCTCTACCCTGAGCCGGTTTCTATTCTGGAATATTGTTTCAGAAAAACCCTAGATGTTTACTTCCACATTACCGCTTCAGATGGCTAGCTCCCTCCTTCTTCCTCCCGATAATCGCTAACAAGACAGACCGCAGTGGAGCTGTGGATCAAGTGGTAGAGAGCCAGTCTTCTTTTTTGGAGGGAGTTGGGGGTGGGGTGGGGGGTGCTTTCAGGGTTTTCTTTTAGGGTTTTGTTGTTGTTTTGCTTTCTTTCTTTTAATCTTCCCTTTGCAGTGTTTGGGATTAAACCCAGTGCCCAGTGCATGGTGCCCCCCCCCCTCTACCACTAAATCATGTCTAGGCCTGACAATGCCACCGCGGGTGCCCCTATCTCCCCCGGCGCCGTGGCTTCCTGCATTGTTTTACTGGATGGAGAAAAAGTGGCTGGTCTGTACATGCGCATCACTCAAATGCAGCAGGAAATGGTGGCAGTGGCAGTGGATGAGTTGAGCATCTGAGTTTTCATAGGTATATGTTGCTTGTGAGACTTGCCAACACAGAGAATGATGGTAATTTATTTATTTTTGTTAATTTAGCTTTCTTCCTCTTACTGATGGCCTCAACATTATTTATAGAGGGAATGTTCTTTATCTGTGGTGTTTTGGGGGTCATTGTGTGTTTTGGGGCTTGAACTCAGGGCCTAGGCACTGTCTCCTGAGCTTTTTTCACCCAACACTAGTGTTCTACCACTTAAGCCACAGTTCCACTTCAGCTTTTTGGTAGTTAGTTGGAGATAAGAGTCTCATGGTCAGGGGCTGGGAAGGTGGCTCAGTGGTAGCACGCTTGCCTTGCATGCCTGAGGCCCTGGGTTTGATTCCTCAGCACCACATAAGCAAATAGAAAAAAGCCAGAAGTGGCGCTGTGGCTCAAGTGGTAGAGCGCTAGCCTTGAGCTGAAGAGCTGAGGGACAGCGCCCAGGCCCAGAGTTCAGGCCCCACGACCGGACCCAAAAAAAAGAAAGAAAAGAAAGGGTCTCACGGTCGGTCTTTCTTACCCTGGCTGGCTTTGAACCATAATCCTCAGATCTTAGTCTCCTGAGTTGCTGGGATTACTGACGTGAGTCACACCAGTCTGACTACACAGTGTTTTTGTTGGTTTTGAGATAGGGTCTTTGTTGTAGCTTAGACTGGCCTCAAAGTCCTGAATGGCTTGGCCTCACAAATGCTGAGATTATAGACATTCACCACTGCTCGATCTTCCCTGTCACAGGCAATGTCCGTCTCTCTCTGTTTGGGCTGTGTAAATGTGACAGTTTAAACTGTACATTCTGGCTTTGTCATTGATATAGAAAACGATGACGATTTTTTTTAAGTACTGGTAATTGGACCCAGGGCCTCACAATAGACACATAGCCTAGAGTAGTTATGCCTCTAGGTCTTCAGTTTACCCTGTTTCTCTCCCCTCCCCCTTGAACTGGGGACCTGGCATTCATTCTGCTTCCTTGTTCAAGCCATTCGTCCAGTTTGGCATTTTGCTGGTTAACTGGAGATGGCTTCTCACACACTTTTCTGCCCGATCTGGCTTCAAATTGCCATCTTCCAGGTCTCAGCCTCCTGAGCAGCTAGAATTGCAGCCTGCCCTACCAGTGACAGCTTGTACTCTGTCTTTGAGGTAGCGTCTTGGTAACTTTACCTGGCATGGTCTTATACTCAAAGCAGCTGGGGTAATAGGTGTGGGCCTGGTGCCTGGTTGAAATAATAGTCTTTTGTGTGTTCTAACAACCTTGTACAAACTTGCTGCAGCTCCTTATTAATTCCCAGAGGGTTGGTGTTTTTTTGTTTTGTTTGGGTTTGGTTTGATTATTATTGTTGTTCTTAGGAATTTACAGTTTTTTTGGTTTATATTTTTGAAAAAAAATTTTGGTTTGGTTGTTTTTTGTGTCACTTTTAAGGCTTGAACTCAGAGCCTGGACATTGTCTTTGTTTTTGTGCTGTTTTGGGGGTTTAAAGTTGGGACTTGGACACTGTCCCTTAGCTTTTGTGCTCCAAGGTAGCGCTCCACCACTTGAGCCACAGTGCCACAGCCAGCTTTTTCCTGGTTCATTGGAGAGAGGCGTCTCGGCTTTGAACTGGGATCATCAGATCTCAGCCTTCTGAGTAGTTAAGATTACAAGAGTGAGCCACCGATGCCTGGCCAGATGGGTCTTTAGAATGACTAAGTGGTTAGTAAGAGTGACCTTAGTAACTTGGGGCTATCCTGCAGTTAGCTTAGTTGTAATGGTGTTGCAATGTAAAAGCACTTTACTTTCAGCTTCCTCTGTTGATTACTGTGGGTTATTTCATTGATAGTTTGTGTGATTTTTATTTTTGTCCTTTTGCGTTTTGGGTTTGTTTGTGTTGTTTTGCTTTGTTTTTGTCATGGGGTTTGAACCAGGGCTGGGCGCTGTCCCTGAGCTCTCGTTCACTAAGACTAGCCCTTAGCAGTGATTTCAGCTTCCGAATCCGCAGACTGTGCTAGTTCCTTGCCTACCAGAAGTGCTAAGCGTCAGGGACATCTTCCCAGTGTGCAGCTTCAAAAATGAGAGTTAAGGTGTTGGTGGCTCACACCTGCAATCCTAGTTATTCAGGAGATCTGAGGATCATGGTTCGAAGCCAGCCTGAGCAGGGAAGCCCGTGAGACTCTCATCTCCAATAAGCTACTAAAAAAAAAGGTCAGAAGTGACTCTGGCTCAAGTGGGAGTGTGCTAGACTTGAGCACAAAGAGGCTCAGGGACAGCACTCAGGCCCAGAGTTCAAGCCTAGGTCTGGCAAAAAAAAAATAAGACTAGTACTCTACCACTTTAAGCCACAGCACCACTTCCAGTTTTCTGTTGGTTCATTGGAGATAAGAGTCTCAAGGACTTTCCTGCCCAGGCTGGCTTTGAACCGCCAGCCTCAGATTTTAGCCTTCTGAGTAGCTGGGATTACAGGCATGAGTCACCAGCACTTGGCTATTTTTGTCTTTTGATTGAAGATTATCTTGCCTTTCTTGATTTTTCTGAAATGTAAGAAGGTGACTTTTTTTCTTTTTTGGAGTATGTACTGATTTCAATTTCTCCCTATGACTCTTTTCTGCACCTCAGAAAATGGTATTAAGTGATAGTGACAGAAAATGAGATAGGAGAAAAATGCGCTTCCTGTGGACTGAAAGCAGGCCATCCCTGGGGGAGAATGACCCATTTCACTGTGTGTGTGTGTGTGTGTGTGTGTGTGTGTGTGTGTGTGTGTACGCACCAGGTCCTGCCTGGGCACTGAACTTGAGCTTTTTCACTCAAGTCTAGTGCTCTACCACTTAAGCCACTACACTTCTGGCTTTTTTGGTTTTTAATTGAAGAGTCTCACGGGGCTGGGAAGGTGGCTCAGTGGTAGAGTGCTTGCCTTGCATGCATGAGGCCCTGGGTTGGATTCCTCAGCTCCACATAAGCAGAAAAATCTGGAAGTGGCGCTGTGGCTCAAGTGGTAGAGCACTATCCTTGAGCTGAAAAGCTGAGAGATAGTGCTAAGGCCCAGAGTTCAGACCCCGCAACCGACAAAAGAAAAAAAAAAGTCTCACAAATTTTCCTGCATGGGCTGGCTTTGAACTATGACCTTCAGATCTCAGCCTCCTAAGCAGCTAAGATTACAAGAATGAGCCACAAGAGCCCAGCTTCTATTGACAATGTTTCTATTAACATTACTGTGACAGCTTGCTTGGGTTTCTGGAGATGAGACTTCTCTTCCTTGTAATTGCTGTTCAGGTGCGAGGGCTTGATCCGGGTCTGGGTGCTGTCCCTGAGGTTTTTTAGTCTAGGCTTTAGCACTTGAACCACAGCTCCACTTTTCTCATAGACTTTCCTGAGGCATGAGCCACCACCATCTGGCTTGACTTGGTTTTAAGATCCTTTTCTACCACTTGAGCCATAACACCACTTTGGGTTTTCTGGTTGTTTATTGGAGATAAGAGTCTCATGGGCAGGGAGCGTGGCTCTATGGTAGAGTGCTCGCCTCGCATGCACGAGAGGCCCTAGGTTCGATTTGTCAGTACCACGTAAACAGAAAAGGCCGGAGGTGGCGCTGTGGCTCAAGTGGTAGAGCTTTAGCCTTGAGCTGAGGAGCTCAGAGACAGCACCCAGGCCCAGAGTTCAAGCCCCGTGACTGACCAAAATTAAAAGTCTCATGGACTTTCCTGCACAGGCTGGCTTTGAACCACGATCCTCAGGGCTCAGCCTCTTGAGTAGCTAGGATGACAGGTGTGAGCCACCGGCTCCCGGCTGTGTCCTTTAGCATTGCCATTCTTCCTCTTGTTTATTTATTTGTCGTGGTTTGTCTGCTTATTATCCTTTTACATTCTGCAGTAAACACGACAGAGTGCTGCCTGATGTAGTGAATTAGCTTTTATGAGTCTGTGTAATGTTTCACTTTGATCTTTGAAAAGCGAGGCGGAGCCTTCTTGGTTGTTGTCTCTCACTTGGATCATGGAAGCCGTTCCCTCTTTAACAAGCCCTGAGCAGCGCACTGTCCGAGCAGCTCACTGTGTTTGCAGTCTTTCTGGGAAGGCTCCTGCTGATGATCATGTGGGTGTGTGGCAAACATTCAGTGACAAGAGAAATACCCATGGTTCCTGTGGACACACTGCTGGGGAGCCCTGAGCCCCTCCTCTCAGTCTGCCTGAGAGGTGAGGTCCATCTATAGTAGTTCCAAGATAGCAGGCAAGGCCAGAATTTGTGCTCAAGACTTTCTATTTGGGGGGTGGGAAGGTGGCTCAGTGGTAGAGCGCTTGCCTTGCATGCATGAGGCCCTGGGTTCAATTCCTAAGCACCACATAAACAGAGACCAAAAGTGGTGCTGTGGCTCAAGTAGATGGTAAAACGCTAGCCTTGAGCAAAAGAAGCCCAGGGACTGTGCTCAGGCTCTGAGTTCAACCCCCAGGACTGGCAAAAAAAAATCTGTTTTGTCTCAACACAAGTGAGGTTCACTCTCTGGTGCCCACTGGGTCGTTCCTCCTCTTTGTGAGGGGACGTGAGTGTGGACAGAGAGCCGGAGCGGTGACCACGATGTGGGGCGATCATTTGTAGCACACGGTGTCAAATCAGCACATTTTGAAACAGTCATTCCTCACGATGTCACAGTTCACTGATTGCGGCTTCACGATATCATGGGTTTTAAAAAATATATAATTCTGTATCAAGGAGTTTCCTTTGTATCACAGAATTTTGTGGTATATAGGTATTTTTATAATATCTGTGATTTTAACTATTTTTGCCTTAAAACTTCAAACAATATAAAATACTAAAATATTAATTCAAACATATTAAAAGAATATTAAAATAAAATACAGTGTGTAGTTCGCCAGCATACGGATGCTGTACTGAACACAACGGAAATGCAGTATGCCACTACCACTTGCCCAGGTTTGCCAATGTGAGATTGTACACGCCACACCATTGGCTGATGGAATGGAAGGCAACCAATCACAGCACTGTGTTCTGTATCCTTGGTGCTCATTGGCTCAGGGGCAGTAGCATCAGTCTGTTTGCCCTCAGGCACTGTGCCTGTTTGTTCAGCATCTCTCCTTGTTCACATCGACGTCTGATCGCTGCGCATAGTGTTGCCGTGCAGTGTTGTGTTTCTGTGAAGTTTTTGGAAAAGTTCGAGTTTATTTCAACCCTACAATGCCACCCAAAGTTCTGAGCCTTCTAAGGCTTCTGGCAGGGAACCCAAGCACCAGAGGACGATGCTCACCTCCAAAGCAAAGGTGGAACTTCTCCACCTGCTAAGGGTAGGCTGTAGGCTGCCATGAGGGAATCAACAAACCTACTGTTCACTACGTAAAGAAAGACGAGAACGGCAGCGATGACTTTTAACAAGACTGCGAAGAGGGCGGTCACTTCCCGCAGTAAGGCCCCTGTGGAGACAGAGCCTGCATTGGGCCTGTGAATAATGACTGCAGGAGAAGAAGGTCTCCCTGGATACCAGCACCATCGGATGAAGGCCAAGCTTTATAAAAGTTTTGTGAAAAACACGGATGAAGTGATGAAGATGAAGACGAGGATGATTGAGGACGAAGATGCAGAAGCAGGATGGTCGAGTGCTTCTCCCACCAGACCAACCGCACTCAGTGCCAGCTGGGGCTGGGGTGACAAATTGCAGACAGTTGGGACTCAAAAGCGTTTCTGCGTGGAGAAGCTGCCTCTGGATAAAGCTGGAGTGGAGGGGTTCGTGAACGACACGTTCAAATCCATTATTGGGGAAGAGAGCCATAAGCCTGAACACGCTTTTAACATCGGTGAGACAAAGCCAGCCAGTGAAGAAGAGGATGAGGAACACAATGAAGTATGGGGTGGAGAAGAGGGCGAGGTTGGCCTAACACTTGGTCATCTTGCAACCGTGGTGAGAATGGCCAAAGAGCTTGAGTGAGTGCTGAAGAACGGGAGTCCCAGATGCTTTGTTCATTGCATTTTGCAAATACAATCAAGAGCAGCATGTCGGTTTATACAAAAACCATCTCACTCAGAAGAAAAAGCGGCACCAGCAGCTTCCCATAACTCTGTTCCTCCTCACCCGGATGAAGAGATCAGGTACACCTCTATCTTTAGTGGAAATAGAAGTTACGGCCCAGGGCAAAGATACATGTACTTCACTGGTGAGTGCCCATATAGAATTTTATATGTTGTTAAAACAATGTAGATTTAAGAGTGTGGAAAGGATTTAGAGTATAGGAAATGTTCATGAGAATGTGGGAAAGGTTAATAAGAAAGTGGGAAAGGTTTATAGGAGAGGGCCAACGGATTATAAAGCCTTAAAATATATTCTAAAACATGCTGCTATTTTGCGGATTTTCACCTATGGGGGGGGTCTCTGGAGTGTAACTCCCACAATAGGTGAGGGACCGCTGTACCCGTAGATCCTCAGGACTGCTGGTCTACTTACTCATCCTTGAAATGCCCTTGTGACGTTTCAGGAGTCTGTGACCTTCGATGATGTGTTTGTCAACTTCACCCTGGAGGAGTGGGCTCTGCTGGATGCAGCCCAGCAGCAGCTGTACAGAGACGTGATGGTGGAGACCTTCCGCAACCTGGCCTCCGTGGGTAAGGACCACTTCATTGTCTTTTTCTGTCAGTCAAAAGTGAATGTCTTTGCTGGGCACCCGTGGCTCATGCCTCTCATCCTAGCTACTCAGGAGACTGAGATCTGAGGATCATGGTTCAAAGCCAGCCCAGGTAGGAAAGTCCACATGAGACTCTGATCTCCAATAAACCACTAGAAAACTGGATGTGGCGCTGTGGCTCAAGTGGTAGAGTTCTGGCCTTGAGCTGAAGAGCTGAGGGACAGCGCCCAGGCCCAGAGTTCAAGCCTCATGACCAGCAACAACAGCAACAACAACAAAAGAATGTCTTGCTAGACACCTGTGGCTCACGCCTATAATCTTAGCTACTCAGGCTGAGATATGAGGATGATGGTTCAAAGCCAATCCAGGCAGGAAAGTCCATGAGATTCTTCTCTCCAATAACTCACCAGAAAACTGAAAGTAGTGCTGTGGCTCAAAGTGGTAGAACATTAGCCTTGAGGAAGAATGCTCAGGGACAGCGCCCAGGCCCTGAGCTTGCCCCTGCTCCATGATTTGAAATGTGGAAAGGGAGTATTTGGGTAAATAATGGCCAACGTGGTTATATTATGACCACAAACCCTAGTAACCAGTTTGTCTGGGAGGTCACAATCCTTCGTAACGATTCTATGTATGTACATTTTAGAAAAGGAAAAGGAAAGCCAGATCATTGAAGATGAGGAAGATCAGACGGTTGAAGAAGTGTGTGAAAATCCGGAACCAGATCTAAGGTAATTTGTCACTGAAAGAGAAAGCAATGTCCCAGAGGGTGTACAAGTAGAGCCAGGCGTGGTGCCTGTCATCCTGGCTTTTTGGAAGGGTAGAGCCTGGGGGAATGTGAGCTGAGGCCGGCCGGCCACTGGAGTATGTGGACTGGCTACAGCTCAGCCAGACAGCACACATCCATTACGTCTGCCTCAGCGGGGAGCGCAGACAGGAGCATCACAGTCGGAGCGGGCTCAGACGCCAGCGCGGGACCCCGCTTGAGAATAATGAGCACAGAAAGGGACTGATAGGGTGTCCCCTCCCTTCCCACCACGAAGAAGGAAAAGGAAAAGAAAGGATCAAGAATAATGGGTAGGGGAGCTGGGACGGTGGCTCAGTGGTAGAGCGCTTGCCTTGCATGCCTGAGGCCCTGGGTTCGATTCCTCAGCACCACATAAGCAAAAAGAAAAAAGCCGGAAGTGGTGCTGTGGCTCAAGTGGTAGAGCGCTAGCCTTGAGCTGAAGAGCTGAGGGACAGCGCCCAGGCCCAGAGTTCAGGCCTCACGACTGGACCCCCCCCAAAAAAAAAAAGAAGAATGGGTAGGATTGAAAAGCCCCAGAAATATACTAACCCAGAATTGAATTGCTTTCGTCACTGAAAGTTGTGTTTTGTTCCTCGAATGTTCTTTCAGAGTAAGCATTCTCAATGAGAAAACTCAGAAGCCAACGTATTCTGCGGCTGGGAACATCTGGAACAGCAACATCATGCCCAAAGTGAAGATCTCTGATGATTTCAGGTACAGAAGCTTCACTCCATGCACAACATCCCTAAAGAGGTACAAAACTCCCATTTCAGGCTTTGGTGGAGCATGTACATGAACAGAAATGAAGTCTGTGTGTGGATCAAGATCTATTTTTAAGATCCCTCATTCATTCTATTTCCAAGTGTGGGTGTGTGGTTCTGGTCATTTCTGTGGGCGCTGGCCCCTTGTATCTCCTGTGTACTATGTACTACAGATTCTGCCTGCACACAGTTCTTTCCTGGGAAACGTAATTCAGAGACACCCCCCTCCCGCCCCCCTCCCGCCCCCCTCCCCGCCCCGCACCGTCCTGCGCATGTCAGAGCTTTCGCCATTCTGTAGCGCATCTAGTCTGTCTGAATCCCAAAACTCCTAACAGGACATCATGGCAGTAAGCTTCCCCTGTCCCAGGCATTTTTAAGAGGGGAATTTATTGATGTCCTTCTCCTTATTTCCAGAATCCAAGTTCTGGAGAGTCTCTATGAAAATACGGAGCAGATCGAATATGGCGACATCTTCAGTCCCATTCCGGGTGACGCTGTGAACAAGGAGACAGCGGGTGCCCTGGAACCCAGCAAAAGCCGGATGTTCGACGTCCTCATGGGTCCCTCATCCCTCAACGTGCCCTTCAACGCCTACCCCTACCACAAGCCCCTCGACTACCAGCAGTACGGCACCATGCCTTTTAAGTTCGAGGACTACACGAATCCTCTCCCCCAGTATTTGCAACAGCAGGACGGGACGAACTCGGGCGACAGGTACTATGGATACAATCAGTATGGGAACGCCTTCAGTCATGCCAGTCCCGCTCCGGCCCACGAGCGATCTCAGTCGGGTGACAGGCCGTACGCGTGCCCACAGTGTGGGAAAGCCTTCTTGTCTTTGAGTGACGTGCGGAGACATGAGAGGACTCACACTGGCGAGAAACCCTTCGTGTGCAAGCAGTGTGGGAAGGCCTTTAGCTCCTCCGGTTACATTAAGATCCACGAGCGGACTCACACTGGGGAGAAGCCCTACGTGTGTAAGCAGTGTGGCAAAGCCTTCGGGCAGTCCAGCCACTGCCTCATCCACGAAAGAACCCACACTGGCGAGAAGCCCTACGTGTGCATGGAGTGCGGGAAAGCCTTCTGCTCGATGAGCGACGTTCGGAAACACGAGCGCACGCACACCGGAGAGCGGCCGTACGTGTGCATGCAGTGCGGAAAGGCCTTCTGTTCCATGAGCGACGTTCGGAAACACGAGCGCACGCACACCGGAGAGCGGCCGTACGTGTGTATGCAGTGCGGGAAGGCCTTCTACACGTGGAGCGATGCACAAAAGCACTACCGCACGCATAGTGGGGAGAAGCCGTACGTGTGTAATGAGTGTGGCAAAGCCTTCAGCGACTCCAGTTCCCTTCACAAGCATAAAATCACGCACACAGGACAGAAACCCTACTCGTGCAATCAGTGCGGAAAAGCCTTCTTTCTCCTGGGCAACATCCAAACACACTTACGGACTCACAATGGAGAGAAGCCCTTTGTGTGTAAATACTGCGGGAAAGCCTTCAGTTGTTCGAGTTACATAAAAATCCACGAACGAACGCACACCGGAGAGAAGCCCTACGTGTGCCCGCAGTGCGGCAAAGCCTTCTTTACTCTAAGCAACGTTCGAAGACACGCACGAACTCACAGCGGGGAGAAGGCCTGCGTGTGCAAGGAGTGCGGACAAGTGTTCCTCTCGCTGAGTGACCTGCAGACACACGAGGCGCTGGCACACTGCGTGGAGACCATGTCCTATGGTTTGAACGTGGAATGACCTGCGCGCGCTCCGTGCCGAAGGCGGGTCCCCCGCTGGGGTGTCTGTCGTGGGGACATTGTGGACACTTTGCGAGGACCGGAGCTACAAGTCTAGTGCGCGGCATGCATCTCTCCGGCGTCCTGCCTGGTTTCCTCCGCTTCTGGCTCAGCACAAACACTCATCTCAGCCCAGACTCGCACCGCCCGCGGCGCCCACTCACCCCTGGGAGCAGTGTTTGTGAAACTGTGAGCCTCGGGGAACACGCAGGAGCGTTCATTCAATTCAAGACCAGCCTGAGCTACCCCAGGCGGTCCTGCCCCCACTCCAGCACCCGACTGCTGTGCTGGTGGCTCCCGCCTATAATCTCAGCGACTCAGGAGGCTGAGACCTGAGGATCACGGTTTAAAGCCAGCCTGGGCAGGAAAGTCCATGAGACTCTTTTTCTCCAATGAACCACCAGAAAACCGGAAGTGGAGCTGTGGCTCAAGAGACAGGGTGCCAGACTTGAGTAAAATAAGCTTAGGGACAGCACCCAGGCCTTGAGTTTAAGCCTCTATACCCGCACCCCCCCAAAAAAAAAAAAAAGAAAAAAAAAGAGTAAGTTCTCCACCTAAGTTGTTTATGTCAAGTATTTTGTCACCGCAATAAAGAAAACATATTCCATGTACATAAGCAGCACGATTGCCCGCAGCCAAGCCTGACCCCAAGTAGAGCTGGTGCGAATGACTGAAGGCTTGACTCTCGGCAAGATGCGTTGTACACATGGATGGACGTGCTACGGTCACATCCCTTTGTACAACGACCTGGAAATAAGAAAAAAAAAAAAAAACCTACGCGAAGACATCATTATCCCGTGAACTTGTAAGCAATCATGAGAACCGAGAGTGACAGAGTATGTGGGCGGGACATGATGTGGACAAACACAGCGCAGCCTGCTGTGGGAGAGATGGCTGGGGTTTCCAGCGGCCCCCATGGGAGAAGAGCAGACCCCCCTGGTGTGAGAAACACAAGGAAGTTGTCAGTTGTAAGAAAGTCGTGTAGAAGTTCCTCACGCAGTACAATCCTAGAAGCCTTAGGTAGAAAGCACGTGATGCAAAACCAGTTTGTGTAGACATCTCTGGAAATCACACACCTCAAAAGACATATTTCAAAAGTTTAAGATGTTTTTGTGATTTCCATGAGTCTTACAGAAATCCCTATTAGGGATGAAACCAAGGTAAACTTGGAATGGTGCCGACGTACCATGAGCGTGTGTTTTAAGAATGGAACCAACCCATTTCAAGAGAAATCTCCGCTTCTCGGGAGGCAGAGATCTGGAGGATCAAAGTTCGAGGCCAGCCTGGTCAAAAGTTATTGAGACTTCATCTCAACTAAACAAGCCACATGTGGTGGTGCACCCCTGCCATCCCAGGCATACAGGAAGGCACGAGATTGCTCTCCAAGACTGGCTCTGTACAGTAACTTCTAAGTAAGAAGCGCTGGGGTTGCAGCTTATGTAATTGAAGCGCTTTGCCTAGCAAGCTCAAGGCCTCGAGTGTAAACCCCAGCTTAAACAAAACAGTTTCATACTGCTCTTATTTCCTGAGACTATCTGCAAGGACGCCATCATACTCGTAGACTAGGCCAAGTTTGTAAGTTTCCTGTGTTTGTCTCTTTTGATGTGGAGACGCGCGATCACACACTTACGACTTCAGTTTTGTTTTCTGCATGTTGGTTTTACTTCGCATTCTTGTGATGTTAAAACATAGGCTTTTATTGTATTTTGTTCTTCAGGCATCATACCAAAAAAAAAAACAAAAAAAAAACAAAAAAAAAAAAAAAGACTTCATGCTGGTGTAAGTGTCCTCTTGCTAGTGACCTCCACAGTTGTAGCTTTTGTAACATAGGCTGTATTTGATTGTAGTAATAATAAATGTCTCCATGAAATTTCTGACAGGAGTGGTATTTGTAAAGGCGCCGCCTCTGTAGGCCATCGGCGCTCGGGACAGATGTGCTTCTGCCGTTGCTAATCCTGATAGTTCTCGCCTGCAAGGCCGGTGTGACCACTGTAAAGAGAACGGCATGTGTGTGGCGTCCCAGCCGGTCCATGAACAGAGGCAAAGTTTTGCTCCTGTTTAAGATACAGAGCTGGGCGCCGGTCGTTCATACCTGTCATCCTAGCGACTCAGGAGGCTGAAATCTGAGAATTGTGGTTCCAAGCCAGCCCAAGTAGGAAAGTCCGTGAGACTCTTTCTCCAGTTACCCATCAAAAAAGCCAGAAGTGGAGCTGTGGCTCAAGTTGGTAGAGCTCTAGCCTTGAGGGGAAAAAACAAAAAGCTCAGGGACAGTGGTCAGACCCTGATTGCCAGCCCAGAATTGGCACAAAAAGCAAACGAAAGCTGTAGAGTGCATCCGATTGCCTGTGTTAGAGATACGTGTAGCAGATTGGTGATGGGGAGCATTTTGTCCTGTCAGAAGTCTGTGACTGGAGGGCTATGTTGCATATAGACCCCGCGTAGAAGCACAGCCGTAGAACAGAACAAGTCTATGTACGTGAAAGGTGTATTAGAGACTGCTAGCTAGAGACCTGGACAGACAAAGCTGCTGCTTAGTTCTGCTGGAATCCTAGCTACTCTGAAGGCTGAGATGGGGAGGATCATGTTTTGAGGCCAGCCCAGGAAGAAAAGTTCCTGAGACCCCCCCTCCACAGCTGACTGGTGGTGCTGTGACATGAACTTGGCATCCGATGACACAAGTAACCGGATTGTGTTGTAGGCACCTGAGACCCTAGCTCACAAATGATCAGTGCATAACTCGGCCATAGAGTGCCTGCTCAGCAAGCCGAAGCCCTGAGTTCAAACTCTAATACCAAAAAAAAAACCCTCGCAAAGGCAAAAATTATATAGAGTGTCTGGGCACCAGTGTCTCACACCTGTAATCCTACCTACTCGGGAGACTGAAATCTGAACGTGGAGGTCCAAAGCCAACCAAAGCAGAAAAGTCCAAGAGACTTCTCCAATTAACCAACAAAGTGCCGAACTGCATGTGGCTCAAGTGGTAGAGCACCAGCTATGAGCATCAAAGATGAGCTAGAGTCCAAGGCCCTGAGCTCACGCCCCGTACCAGCACACACACACACACAATTATATAATGCATCTCCTATAGTAGCGCTGTTGATCAGTAGATAGTCGTATCAGTATTGATGTCAAATATAACAAAAGTATGTCCTGTATTTATGTCAATAAATAAAGGAGTATATCATCGATTGTCTTCCTTCTTGTAAATTGCTCGCCCCTGACTATGGGTTCAATCCTAGGACCCAGAGGTTAGATTCCGGGTGTTCAGGGTAAGTAGTGTGCGGTCCCGTACTGTGTGGTCTGCTGTGGGGGAGCTGGACTCCCGTTAAACGGGCGCTGCTCTGCGCTCGGGTCGGGGGTGCAGGTGCGCCTGGCTGTAGTAGTCCCAGCTTCTTGAGAGGTGGCAAGATTGTAGATCCTGTCTAAAAAGGAGTGGGGGGGCTGGGAAGGGGGCTCAGTGGTGGAGCACCTGCCTCGCACGCATGAGGCCCAGGGTTCCATTCCTCAGCACCACATAAGCAAAAGAAAAAAAGTCACTGAAAGAACACCAAAATAGGGCTGGAAATATAGCTTAGTAGTAGAGTGCTTGCCTAGCATGCATGAAGCCCTGGGTTCGAAATTCCTCAGTACCACAGACACAGAAAAGGCCGGAAGTGGCACTGTGGCTCAAGTGGTAGAGCACTAGCCTTGAGCAAAAGAAGCTCAGGGACAGCGCCCAGGCCCTGAGTTCAAGCCCCAGGACTAGCAAGAAAAAACTAAAAAAAGAAATAATGGATGCAGTTAACATGTATATTGTAAACCTGCTAATGATTTTGAATTGTGGCCTTCTGTTAAGTTTGTGAGAAATGATTACACCATTTGGAGTCTGTCCTTGTAAATTATTGAATTTATAATTTGCGTTAATAGCATCTTGTTAACGTGTTTTTATTTTTCTCTTAGGAGTTAAGTTTATCTCAAATCATCCTACTGATGCCCTTGCTTATGTTAAGACAAAAAGAACCATCACAGGTTCACGCCTGTCATCCTAGCTACTCAAGAGGCTGAGATCTGAGGATCATGGTTCAAACCCAGCCCAGGCAGGAAAGTCCATGAGACTCTTAGCTCCAATAAACCACCAGAAAACTGGAAGTGGTGCTGTGGCACAAGTGGTAGAGCGCTCTCCTTGAGCTGAAGAGCTGAGGGACAGTGTCCAAGCCCACAGTTCAAGCCCCATGACTAGAAAAAATAAAAAATAAAGCAAAGAGCAAGGCTCATGCCTGTAATTCTGAGATTACAGTTGAGATCTGAGGATTGTGGTTCAAAGCCAGCCTAGACAGGAAAATCCGTGATCCTTTCCACCAAAAAAGTTCAAAGTAGAGCTGTGGCGTAAGTAGTAGAGAGCTAGCTTTGAGCAGAAATACAGAGACAGTGCCCAGGCCCTGAGTTCAAGCCCCAAGATCTCCACCTCCTGCATAGCTGACAGGCATGAACCACCAGCGCCCAGGTTGGAGTTTTCTATTTCCTTGGTTTCAGATCACATTTGACCTTAGGTAACTGAAATCTTAGGAAGCCATTTCCAGTAAGGAGACAGATGCCCAACACAAAGATCTACAAATGTAAAAAGTATTCAGGAAGCCAGGTGCTGGCGGCTCACGCCTGTCATCCTAGCTACACAGGCTGAGATCTGGGGATCACAGTTCAAAGCCAGCCCGGGCAGAAAGTCCATGAGACTCTTATCTCCAATGAACCACCAGAAAACCGGCAGTGGTGCTGTGGCTCAAGGGGTAGAGCGCTCGCCTTGAGCTGAAGAGCACAGGGACAGTGCCCAGGCTGAGATTTAGTGGTATTAAAGATAACTGCATTCTGTGCTTTTTCCCTGTCAGATTCTGCAGCATTCTGTAGCAGCAAGCAGTCGATGAAGTCACAGGAGCTGCTGGTGCTTGTGTTACATGAAGAAAATCCACCCTGGCGCGAGTTCACGAGCCACAACCTGAAATGGCTGTGCCAGAACAGGTTCCGATCCCACCCTTGGCAAGCCCTGCCCAGAGGTGATCAGGACTTGGTGGCTGGAGTCTCCAGTGCCCAGAGAGGACTCACTCACACCCCGCCCACCGGTCAGCCGGGGTCAGCCGTGGGCTGGGGATCCCCCCCCCCACGGCTTAACACGGTTCAGATTTGGGGTTTTCAACTGTCCTAATACTCAATCCATTAGATGAAATGCTCCCTTGCCTATTATTTCCTCTTTGTCAGATGTGAAACCGTCAACCAGAATAGAGCCGCACGCTGTTTCCAGTCACTGTACCTTTAAGAACAACAGCTTTAATCTTCCCCCACATCCAGCCGGCGCCAGTGACTCACGCCTGTAATCCCAGCTATTCTGGAGGCTGAGATCTGTGGGATGTGGTTTCCAGCCAGGCTGGGCCGGGAAACCCCTGAGTCTCCTCTCTCTAGTTAACCAGTAAAATGCCAGAAGGGGAGCAGTGGGGGCTCTCGGCAGAGTGCTTGGCCTGGAGCAAAACGCCTGGCGACGGTGCCCAGGCCCTACATTCCAGCCCCAGTGCTGGCCCAAAACAAAACAAACCTCCGGCCGGGAACGGGCCGTGCGCGCTTCCTGGCCGGCAGGCAGCCCGGCCTGGGCCTGCGCCCCTGCGGGCAGGGGCTCCCGCG